AGCGTTGAGTCATTCGCTCAAGCTGCCGCACCCTTTGCTCCCTGGATTGGCTCAGTCTCTGCTCTCCTGAAGCTACTGACTGCTGCTCTGCTGCATGCCTCCTTCTCTACCTGTCCTCATGCTGTCTGTTCAGTGTCCCGCAACTTCTCTCCAAAAGCTGGGAATTCGGTATAAGAATCTCCTTGCAGGTTATTGCAGGTAATAATCACGTGCTTCCATAGTACAGTATGCAGTTAAATACCTGTCCAACCTCTGAAAAGAGATTTGGGAATGCTGCTGTTTCTAGACCTTTTTTTTTTTTTTTAAAAAACCCCAACTGTCTCCACATAGCATCCATCTGCGGGGGGTGGGGGGTGAAATGGAGAGGAAATTTTTTTGGTTCCAGTCACAAACTTATACCCTTTGCCCAAGCCCCTGACTTCCTTCTCATTCACAGCTGTGATTGTTTTTATTATTATTTATATTTTTTTTCCCCTCCAAACCCAAAATATTCTGGTTTTGTTTCCTAGCTTCCTTTCTTCAGGAGTGCTTTCCCCTCTCTCTGGCCCTCCATGGATTTCGGCCGCCTTTCTCCATTGTGCTATTCAACAGCAGTCACCGTGCGGACAGGGGAGAAACGCACTGAAGAGGCTGGGGACTGACACAGAGCAGGCAAGACTGCATGCATTTTAAACGTCTGCTGTTCCCCATGCTTGAAAACGATAAGTTTTAACTGAGAATTGGTTGTCCCGAGATACTGCTGTATCCCTGGTAAACCCCGTTGTGAAATCTTGCTGGTGGCTAGTTGATAAATGTAGCTGTAAATTACCAGTTACGAAATACTTATCCTAGAGGCAAAGTTGTTCCAAACTTAAAACTTTTAAGCGGGGCTGCTGCTTGGCAGTCCTGTCTGTTGATCTTCCAGGGAACAGCCGGGACCAGAGCTCAGTATGGGGAGTGTCCCTGTACAGAGACATTCACAGGTAGATCGTGTTGAAGTGGAACCTGTGCCTTAATATTTACTCTTAAGTTTTATTGCTCCAGGCAGCAGTTACGGTAGCAGCTCCTCTTGCCATGGGATTGACTCCTCCAGCGCTTGTATTGGTCTAGAGCCAAGAGCTGCTAGTCAGAAACTGGTGTCACGGCTGATACTGCATTTAGTATGTGTGGAATAACAGCGGCTTTCACCTCAAAAATCTGCCTTGAGAGAGGAGGAGGAGGCCAGGAAGGGATGTGGTAGGGATCCAAAAAAAGCGCTAACAGTCTGTCAGGGCAGGATTACGATGCGCTTGCTGAGGTGGGAGGCTGCACAGCGTCTGCCGCATTGTGCCGGCTGCGGACCAACGTTAGCTCTCCTTCAGGTTTACATCTGTGGTAGCTCATTCGGTTCTCCCCGTATTTGGGAGAAGTTGTTGTCTGTTGTCTGACTTGCTGACTGCAGCGAGCCTTGCTTCGAGAACAGTGAATTTAGTGTGGAATTCACCCTTAGAAGCAACAAACGATGTCAGGCTGCAGTCTGTCTGCTTCAGACACGCTGCCTTCACCTGGAAGGAACAGCAGTGCTCGTGGTTCATCCAGGTCCATCCTGGGAACTTCTTTGTGAGATTTTATTTCCTGATTGGAAAGCGTGAGTTCTGAGTCGCCACCGCAGATACAACTAACAGGCGTTCTCTTTTTCTTGCAGCTTCTTGTTTCTCTGCTGTTCTTCTCACTTATGGATCTCATCTCAGCAAAAATAGCACCAAAGGTAAATTCAGCCTTGAGGGAATTCCCATGACGCTAAATGTGTCTGATCAGCTTGGTTTGCTGCCTAAAAACGCTTTGTACCTGTACTGCGAAGGCTGGTAGCTTGTTCTGCCAGAAGGAGGGAAGGGATCAGCAATATCCCAGACAGAGCCTGCTGAAAGCCCTTCTGTTCCGATCAGATTAAACCTGGCTTTTCCTCTAACTGACGTTATCTCCCCTTTCACTGCGGTAGCTTTTATTTCTGAATGACTTGCTATTTTCAGTTCCCTGCTCAGACTTTACACCTCCCAGGTAGTGCAGGAATCTCTCTTAGCTTTTGTGGAGCATTTCCCATTTGTCAGACGTTTTTCCTCAGGCTGCAAACGTACATGGTATTTCACAGAGAAGGGATCCCCAGCAAGGAGGAACATTGGTTTCCAAACGATTTAATGCTATTAAATGGAGGAGCAAAGAGGACAAGTTTCTTCCAGCAGCCGTCTGCCCTAAGCATCCTCCTGCCTAGGAATGCTCGTTTCTGTCCCTTTGCTGCCTTCTCAGCTCTGAAGTGTGGCCGTTCATGCCGTCACCTAACAGATTGGATTGGGGAGCAGATTGAAGTTAAAAATAATCGTTTGGTCTCATAGTCTGCCTCTGGGAGAGTCTGGAGGAAGAGTCATTGAGGAAAGAAACAGCTTGAGATCTGGGAGGTTATTCCAAGTAAAAATGAGTAATGCAGGAAAAAAACCCCAAACCCAAGACACGTTGTCACTAGAAAGGTTAGAGGGAGAAAAAACCTGCTCCGGGGCTGAGCACGGCTGGGCAGCGTGCTGGTGACAAGCTGGTTGCTCACTGATACGACTTTCCCCCCTCACAAATCGTTCCCAAGCGAGCCCTGTTGTGGCCTGGTTTGGTGATGAAGGTGCTGTGTGACTCCAGTGCCTGACTGCCCGGGGGAATCCAGGCTGCCAGGTGAGGGGAAAGACATGAGCTAAATCCATGAAGGGCCTGGAACGGAGCACTTCACGGACCTGATCTCTTACGGGGGGTTCCTTTCTGCTTTGATGCAACTAAAGCCTGAGCCAAACTAGCCCTGTCCTTTCTGACACCCAGGAGGGAGCGGATTTTCAGACATCTCTGGAATGGTCCCTGGAGATCTCGCGATGCCTGGAAGAGAGGGGCGCATCCTGGCCGCTTCTCTTCTGTTCGGCAGAGAAAGGTGAGCGAGTCCTGCTTGCGAGGGGTGGAAAGGGGAGGTTTGGTGCTGGATGGGCATGCCCTGTCTCTGCGATTCGTGAGTGTACCTGTACGAAGGAACTGACAGGCGCAAAAAATACTTGAGTAAAAGCTCAGAACATCCTGCTCAGTATGGTGGCCCAGCTCATGGTCAGGAAGGACTGACACTCAGTATGGTTCCCTCTGGCAGAGAAAGCCTCAGAGGGGACAGCTTCTCTCAGAGGTCCCTGCACCCAGTTTTTATTTTTATTTTTCATTTTAGTTTTTAGGTTTTTTTATTTTTTATCCTGTAGTGTTTATTGTGGGCTGGAAGGAAACTGCGCAGCCCCTGTGCTGCACGGTGGCGGGAGGACCACCGAAGATGCTCAGTGCTTCTCTCTGACTCTTGCAGACCCCAGAAAATACCACGTCCTGCGCAGCGCAACTTCGGACCGTCACATCCAGCTCTTGCCTGTTGCGTTCTACAGGTAAAGTCCTCCTGGGTTCAGAAGGGAGGTGCGGCCGATGGTTTGTACCTACAGCGGCTGGCGTGGAGGCAACTGTTCTGCTGGCCTGTAGGTGAGCTTAGCTCTGCAGGAGAGAATACCTGATGGCGGCAGGATTGCTATTTAAGGAGCCACGTAGCTTTTGCTAGAAGCTTCCCTTTGGCTTTGTGCTCCAAACAAGAGTGGCCTGGCAGCGGGGTGGCCTACGCACACAATGGGGCTTGCAAAACGGACAAAGCTGTTGCCGTTGTCCGTTTTGCAAGCCCCATTGTGTCTTTGCCTTCTATCTTTCTGTGTTTGAGTCTACCGCGGAACCAGTGCTAACCAGAGGCGGTGTGTGATCTCTAGCCTCACCCCTTGCTTTCACCGAGAGCTGCTCGCTCGAGAGCAGACCTTCCTCTACGTGGCCCTCGATTTGTACATCCGCCTGCTTCGGCTCTTTGTGGAAGGGAGAGATCTGCCGCTGTCTGATCAAGTGGGGCAAAATCCAGACCCCGCAGAGCACGTGAGTGAAGCTTGTTCTCTTTTTTTTTTCTTCTTTCCCTCTTGTAGCTGTGAATCCCATTCTTTATCCCTGCTGCTTGCGGCATCCCTCTCGTTCCCACCTTCCTGTACGAAGCAGAGGTAGCTTGTCCCTCTGTCAGCTTGCTTGCTGTCCAAGAGCTCAAAGTGACGTTGCCTTTGGCCTTGATCGGCCGTGTCTCTTCTCTGTCTTCTCCAGGGGGATCCCTTGGAGGTGATCTCTGCGGCCCAGCGGTTCCTGCTTGCTGCCATCCCACGTTGCCCTGCCCAAAGCTTTGGGAACATACAACCGGTGCGTTGAGATTACTTTTTTGTTTTCCTCTTCTCCCAGTGTGTGGGAGCACCAATTCTGCCTGCGGAGCCTTTCCTGGGCGCTGGCACGCGCTCTGTTTCCATAATGCAGTGGGGGACGGCTGCTGCCCCCTCAATGCTACAGCCACGTCCTCCCTCTCCCAGGCTGCAGGCTCCTTCTTTCTCTGCAACATCCAACAGCAGCTCCCGCTGCTCGCTTAATGCTTGGGGGAAATACCAAGCACTGCCAAGGGGCAGGTCTTGCAGTTTCCCACAAGCGCTTGTCAGCCAGGAGCCTGTTATTTCTGAGTCGGCAACACCTTCCCTCTCCTCTACCCACCCTTCAAGGAGCGGGTAGTGATGTCGTGTTGCCATACCTCGCTGAGGCAGCGCGAGCGGGGCTAACGCTGCCTGCTTGCCCTCTCCCCAGCTGCTGCCCGTGTGTGAAGAACTTGACCCGGAGCTGGGAGCAGTCCTTCTGCACTTCTCGAGGCCTGCCGTGGAGCTGGACGAAGAGCTGGTCCTCTTCTGAGCAGCAGGCAGGGCAGCAGGCAGGCAGCAGGCAGGGCACGCTGCACAGACCACCCTGACCACTGCTGAAGGGACAGACAAGGTGCTACCTTTCTCACCAGCACTGTTTCTTTCAAATTACTTTGTAAATAATTTATTACAAGCATAACCATGAAGCTCTTGTTACAATAAAAAGTAGGTTACAAATTTCCGTTTAGACTTGCTTTGGGAATCATATTTTTTTTTTTTTTCTCAAAAAGTCTGCTTCAAGTTGCTCCACGGTCCTCTGTACCCTGACAGCCACCCGAGGGCATTTCTGTGCGGGCAGCAGCTTGTGCGGGCAGGGAACAGTTGTGGCCAACTTGGTTTCTACACCTGTGTGCGTGGGGAGAAGGGGAACCACGAAGGGGTGCTGCCGCCTCCCCGGGGGTTAGACAGACTTAGTACAACACTGCTGAATCAGACGTGAGCATGGAGAATCACAGCATGATAACAAGCTTTTTCTGAGCGAGCTGAAGCTAATTCCACTGAGTCCTTTGGGAGACTAAAAGGTAGCCTGACAATCTCCCCTCTGCCGTACGGCTTCTACAGGGCTGGACGGGGACAGCGTCCCCATCCCCCTCAGGTGGGCTCCTGCTGCGCAGTCACTTCTGGCTTTACCGCCTGGCTTTCCGCAGTCCCTGAAGTAGTGAGGAGGAGAACGGGCTCTGGCTCCAGTGGCTTGGCTTTGTCCTGAGTCTGGGTCAGAGGGTGCACCATGGACATGTGGACGTTAAGGTTATGGGCCTTCTCGAAACGCTTCCCGCACTGGTCGCAGGCAAACTCCAGCTCCGTCTCGGCTTTGTGTTTGGTCATGTGGTACTTGAGGGACGCTCGCTGCCTGCACTGGAACCCGCAGATCTCACACCTGCAAGGCAAAGCAGGGGCTGAGCACCCACCCTGAAGCCGCAGCCCCGGCCTGGGCTCCGTCACGCTGAACGAGCCCGGGAGAAGATGACTGCGGCACGTGGCATCTCCTGAACTACCCCGGTCACGCAACCGAGTCTCGTCCTGGGGCCTGCAGCTCCTGGGGGTAGCGGAGCATTCTCAAGGGCAACAGCACTAGGAGGAGGCGTGGGACTGGCTCAGCAAGGGACACGTGTTGTGGATGGATGTTTAAAGAGATTCAGCCAGGACACGACCACGTTCCGGCCGGCTACAGGCAGGATTTGTGTCACGGAATTACTCTCCGAGAGAGCCGAGCAGAACGTCACTGCTCCTTCCATCCCCTTCCTCAGCCCCAGCCGGCGGGTTGGGGTGCACTTACTGGAGGGGCTTTGCTCCCGAGTGCCGCATCTGATGGACCGAGAGGTGCTTGCGTTGCTTAAAGGTCTGCCCGCATTCATCACAGATATAATTACGTACCTCTGCAATGTAAAAAGGGAGAGACTCATCGATTCTGCCCCTCCCAAATGCACACACGCAGCTGCCCACGCTCACTGCTGGAGTCTGAATTCCTCCCCCGTGTGACGGCCCGTTACAGGCAAGGCACGCCGTCCTACACCCTGCACGGGGTCTCGCACAAGCCTCACCCGACGAACTGTCAGGTGTTTGTAACGCCCGTCCCCTGGTGTGAGCGGAGCCTGCTGGGACGCACCTGTATGAATGAGCTTCACGTGGCGCTGTAGGTACCGGTCAATCATGAACACCTTGTTGCAGCCAGGATGAGGACAGGGCCTCTCCCGAACCTCTTCGTGATGCTCCTTGATGTGTTTCTGTAAAGAAAGGACAGAGCTTCTAGCCGCCGGGCTGTGTTTTCCCCAGTGAAACGCGTGGATCCCCCAATAAATGATTTCCCCAGCTTAGCAGGCTTGTGCATCAGCGCTGCTTCGCTGTGAAAAACCGGAGATTTGCATCCAAATCTACCCCCGGCAGCAGAGGCTTTAACGGGACAAGGTGAGCTCCTTCCCAGGGCTGCTCCGAGGAGGAGGAGGAGCACCACGCAGAGCCAGAGCGGCTCCCCTTGCTTTCAGGGGAACAGAAAAAGGCCTCTGACGGTTAGTCGCTCGCCCCCTCCCATGGAGCTGGGCGGTGAATTAAATCTGGATGGACACGGCTCCTCTCCTCAGCTGGAAACCACGCTGTAACACTGAAAGCTCAGCTCTGAGACAGGAGCAAACCCCGACCTTACCTTCATGCCATCCGCCCCCCTGTAGACAGCCGTGCATCCCTGGTAAGGACACTTGTAAATGGTAGGCAGCTCCTCCCTGCAAAGCAGAGGCCTGCCGTCAGCCAGGGTGCGAGCTGGGCGCTGCCCCGCCGCCGCCTGCTCCTTCTTACCTTTCACATTTGATTTTTTTTTTCCACCCTGGCTTAGGCCCCGGCTTCTTCCTTATTTTGGGTTCTTCTGCCTTCTTCGCTTCTTTGCCGTCGCTTTTCTTGCTAGAAACCCTCCAAGAAGGAACAAAGAAGGAGGACGGGGGGTTAATGCTTGACGTTGGGTTATTCCTCCCGCCTAACGCTCCCCAAGGCTTGGCTTGACCCGGCGAAGCAGGAGCACGTAATTAATTAGCGCTGGGCATGGGGACGAGGACCACGGCTGGGGAGTTCAGGGAACGCCGTGATCTCCAGGCAGGGACGTGGGGATGAGCGAGGCCGTGAAGGACAGCGATGGCGTTGGCCCAGCCTGGCACGCCCAGCCCGGCACGAGGCGAGCGGAGGTGGGCACCAGCCCTCCCGCTCCTCCGCCGAGAGCTCTGCTAACGCGGCAAGGCCCTTACTTCTTTTCGGGGTAAGGCTCGAAGGAGTCATCTGAAGATTGCACGTTTCTCTTCTCGTTTTCATCATCGCTCAAGAAGTCCCTGAGAGAGAGAAGATGCCCTTTACCGACGCAGCAACGAGCTGGCACGTCAGCACCATATGCGTTCTTCGCCCCCGGCGCGTCCATCTCCCCCGTGGCACGGCAGCCGAGGCTCCGCATGTTTCCTCCCCCGTAACTTCCCCAAGCACATACATCAAATAACAAAATCGGGTCCTTTTAGGACTAGATCTCTGTAATTGAGCTGTGGTCAGGCAAACAAAAACCAGCTGCTACTCTAAAGATCTATTTATTGTGGAAGGATGTCACCACTGCTTTCTATACTGGGAAAAGTAATTTTGTTGAGCAAGAACGCAACATGATTGTCTGGCGCAGGTTAATTAAGCTGCAGGTCATCCTGTATCTCCTCACACGTAGCAGCCGCATAGGTTTGGGTTTTTCTTTTAAGTCCCAAGCCATACAAGAAGCAATTAATTCTGAAGGCAGGAAACAGGCAATAAAATTGTCGCGGCACTTTTAACGCGACAGCTGACAGGTTTACCTGACGCACAGAAGTCAGTCTGCGCTCGGCCATTTGGTATTTCAGCCTCAGAACGACTGGACTCGAGTATCAGTTATTTACAAACCTCACTTTAAATACCTACGTTTGAAGGTTTTAGCCAAACCTTTGATCACCGAGACTGCTAAGCTGCCCGGGTCCCTCCCGCTCCTGCTTCCCACGGAATCGCTGAGCAA